TCATCTGAGTTAAATTCACCCATTCCAGTCCATTTTAGTTCGCTGATTCCTAGAATGTCGACATTCACTCTTGCCATCTCCTGTTTGACCACTTCCAGTTTGCCTTGATTCATGGACCTAACATTCCAGGTTCCTATGCAATATTGCTCTTTACAGCATCGGACCTTGCTTCTATCACCAGTCACATTCACAACTGGGTTTTGTTTTTGCTTTGGCTCCATCCCTTCATTCTTTCTGAAGTTATTTCTCCACTGATCTCCAGTAGCATATTGGGCACCTACTGACCTGGGAAGTTCATCTTTCAATGTCCAATCTTTTTGCCTTTTCATACTGTTTATGAGGTTCTTAAGGCAAGGATACTAAGTGGTTTGCCATTCCCTTCTCCAGTGGACCACATTCTGTCAGACGTCTCCACTATGACCCGTTTGTCTTGGGTGGCCCCGCATGGCTTGGCCTAGTTTCATTGAGTTAGACAAGACTGTGGTCCATGTGATCAGACTGGCTAACTTTCTGTGATTGTGGTTTCAGTCTGTCTGCCCTCTGATGCCCTCACTCAGAGCCTACCGTCTTACTTGGGTTTCTCTTACCTCGGACGGGGGTTATCTCTTCACGGCTGCTCCAGCAAAGTGCAGCCGCTGTATATGTGTGTATATACATACATACATATCTATAGATATCAACCTGAATCACTTTGCTGCACACCAGACACTAACACAGCATTGTTAATCAACTATGCTTCAACAAAAAAGAGAAAACTAATACAAGATGAAAAAATTTTTCTCTTGGTGGCTGTGGGATGAGACTGTATGGCAGCTGGTAAGGCAGAACATTTCTCGGTCCACGCTTCACCCAGGAGTGGAGTTAATGCGGAAACAGGAATGTTCCGGAATAGCACTGTCTCTTTCTCGGCTGCCCTCTCCTAATGCAAGCATACACCCTTGGATAGGCTTCCCCACCCCGCCTCTCCCTGCGAGGGCCTGCTGTTTTCCTCTCTGTGCAGAGGCTCAGGCAGGCAGGAAGGAGAGGAGGCCCCTGCCCCTTTTCTGTCTCAGTTGTACTCTCCAGCTCAGCTGGCCAGGGAGGTCAGAGTGCTGTGGGTTGTCTGGCACTGGTGCAGTCTTTAAAAACCCTGATACTTTGTCTCCCTTCTGCCCTCTGTTCTCCGGGTGTTTTCTCCACTGACCAGACTCAGAGTGGGGAGGGATGACAACACGGTGGGCCTTCCTGTGGCCCTGATGGTAAAATCAAGGACTGGCCTTCGGGGACCCAGTACCTGCACGCGTGTGTTCAGTCACGTCAGTCGTGTCCGACTCTTGGCGACCCTATGGACTCTGTAGCCCGCCAGGCTCCTCTGTCCATGGGATTCTCCAGGCAAGAATACTGAAGTGGGTTGCCCTGCCCTCCTCCAGGGGATCTTCCCGACTCAGGGATCAAACTCCCATCTCTTCAGTCTCCTTCATTGCAAGCGGATTCTTTACAACTGAGCCATGGGGAAGCCCATGAGGACCCAGTACAGTGGATTCAAAAAGGCAAAAGGCTCTGGAGTTACCTCTGGCCTGAAGCTTTATAGGTACAGTTGAAGCTGGAAAGAAATGATCACAGTTCCATGTGGGTACAGAGCCCAAGACTTAAAATTTTACTTCAGATTATTTGTGCTAATCTTTAGTAAGTGATGCTCTGTTGGGTGTCCCAGATCGTGATTATCTATGCTGTTATGAATTTCACTTAGGGTCACAGAAGGAACCATGGAGGGGTTTTGCTTAGGAACCTGTCCCCAGGTTGCTAGAATTATTTCCTGGTACATTGTTTCAACTTGGCTTGGAGTTGTATCTTTATTAAGTTAGGCCTGTGTATTCAGATGTTGTGCAACTTGCTGTGGGGTTAACCACAGAGGTGTGGTGGACCTCATACTGATAAGAAGACCAGGACCCTTCACATGGAGGAAATGCCAATATGTGTGAAAGTGGAAAAAAAACTCAATTTGGAATTATCACAAACTGAAAGATAAGAGAGAAATGAACAAATCTTGTACCTGGAACATTCTGTCTCTAGAAATCAGACTTATTCAGGAAATCAAGCAGGCATGGGGTCCATGTGAGATACAAGTCTTGGTCTCGTAGTGAGAAAAGTCAGCAAGTAAGGGGAAGGAGATAAAGAAGGAAGTTCTATTGCTCAAACCAGGGGAAAAGAGAAGATTTTCTTGAGAAAAATGTTGAGGTTTTAGAGAGCGTGATTGAGATGTATGAAGAGAAAAAGGGGATATTTTCACACATCAATGATTTTAAGGGCACAGATCGTGATTATCTATGCTGTTATGAATTTCACTTAGGGTCACAGAAGGAACCATGGAGGGGTTTTGCTTAGGAACCTGTCCCCAGGTTGCTAGAATTATTTCCTGGTACATTGTTTCAACTTGGCTTGGAGTTGTATCTTTATTAAGTTAGGCCTGTGTATTCAGATGTTGTGCAACTTGCTGTGGGGTTAACCACAGAGGTGTGGTGGACCTCATACTGATAAGAAGACCAGGACCCTTCACATGGAGGAAATGCCAATATGTGTGAAAGTGGAAAAAAAACTCAATTTGGAATTATCACAAACTGAAAGATAAGAGAGAAATGAACAAATCTTGTACCTGGAACATTCTGTCTCTAGAAATCAGACTTATTCAGGAAATCAAGCAGGCATGGGGTCCATGTGAGATACAAGTCTTGGTCTCGTAGTGAGAAAAGTCAGCAAGTAAGGGGAAGGAGATAAAGAAGGAAGTTCTATTGCTCAAACGAGGGGAAAAGAGAAGATTTTCTTGAGAAAAATGTTGAGGTTTTAGAGAGCGTGATTGAGATGTATGAAGAGAAAAAGGGGATATTTTCACACATCAATGATTTTAAGGGCACAACTAGAAAAGAGCACAGTATTCATTTCTAGATCAAGGAGGACGAAAGGGCAGATTTGACAATGCAAAGTGGAGTCAGACCGCTAGAGGGAGCATGGACCCAGGAAACTAGTGTAGACAGTTGCCCAGCAAGAGGGAGGAAGGACAGGTGGTTTGGTGGGAGCAGTGTGAGTGTCATTAGGTAGATAACTTTAAACGAACACGGTTATTTGAGTGGTGTGTGTATTGCCCAAGCCCACACCCAGGAATTTGTGGAGTCAGGACACATAGTCACTGAGAAGGTGAAACATACTCAAAGGGGAATTCATGCAGGCAAGAAATAGATGTAGTCACATCTGAGTTAAATTGGACTACCAGCAGAATTATTTTAAATTTCTACATATAGCAGGAAGACAGAAATGTCTGAAGTGCCCCTCTTTGAGAGAAGACATAGTAGGCATGCCCTCATCCCGCTATGGCAAAATTAACACCAACATCAATCCTTCATTGTGTTGCAGAGAAAAGCCAATTCTGACTCCAGGTTGGAACTGTTTCTTTAACTTGCTTTCCATTGCTTTTGTTATTATAATCACATATAATGGTCTGCCTCAGAATCCAGCCAGTCTGCCTGGCTGTTACACTAAAGTGCCTTTCTTCAGAACCCTGTCTACCTGTAGATGGCAGGAAGGAAGAAGCTAACCCATCCCTCTCCCCTCCCCACATCCTCCCCTTGCCATTCTAGGAGATATATGCAAGATTAATGACCTTTATGGTTTGTTTCCTCACCTCCCCCCATCTCTGATCTGCAAAAGAACCTGGCATCCAGACCCCGATAAGGTGGTTATTTTGAGACATCAGTCTGCCATCTTCTTGGTGAGCTGACTCCACACCTTGTCTCTGATTCATTGACCTGTCATGTGGCTAGCAGAAAGAGCTTGGGCTCGGTAACAGTTGGAGGTTTCTCGCAGTTGGAGTTTAAATTCACGTGTTGGGAAAGAGATGGCATGGACTGAGAGCATTCTGGTGAGGTGCTAGTGTCCCAGGTACTACTGAGTTTCTCGTGTGGTGCAGCGCAAGCACTGGCAACTTGATTGGCTGAGCTCAGGGCCCCCACCGGTCAGGAGGAAACTGTCGTGGAGATGCCTGGCCATCACCTCTTGTGTTCCAACTGTATTCTGCCCTGACTGAGTAAGCTAGCTCTCTGCTCCTGTTCTTCCATGAGCGGCCGACTGAAGATCACGTTCAAGAGGAGCACCGACCAGACAGGCTCTTCCCCGTGCAGCAGGTGCAGCAGCATTAGAGAGCCTCTGTGGAGAATGCACTCAGGAGGCATTTCTACAATATCTTTCTCTTGTCCCTTGAACTCTCACTAAGAGTTTCTTGGCCTCCACCCTAGCCCTGGAAAAAACCATTACAAATAGCCATGCACTAGATTCTGGACACACAATGGCCCTGATGTCTGAACTTAGGAAAACACATTTATCAGCTTATTAAAAGAGGTGATACAAGATACTGATGAACAGCCAGGTGGAGAGATACACAGGGTGAGGTCTGGGAGGGTCCTGATGGCAGGAGCTTCCATCCCCATGGAGTTGGGCTGCACACCCTCCTGGTCCGTGGATGTGTTCCCAACCTGGAAATTCTCTGAATCCAGCACTATCAGGATTTTATGGAGGCTTCCTCACACAGGCATGATCAATTATTAACTCCATTTCCAGGCCCTGCCCTCACTTTGGACAAGTAGGGGGCGGGGCTGAAAATTCCCAGCTTCTAACCATGGTTTGCCATCCAGAAGCTCACCCAGAGTTGCCTCAATACAACGAAAGATGTTCCTAGTGCCCTTATCATTTAGGAATTTACAAGGGTTTTAGGGACCTTGTGTCACAGATGGAGCCAAAGACCAAATGTTAGAAAAAGAGATGCTCCTAAATAAATGTGCTCATCACCTAGGAAGTTATGAGGGTTTTAGGAGCTCTGTGCCAAGAACCAGGGGCAGAGACCAATATACACATTTTCTATTATCTCATGTCTTCCTTCCTGTCATCCTATCTGTCCTGGAGTGAAGAGTCTTCTCTCCAGTTGCAAGAAAAAAGAGATTTATTACTTTATTTTACCATACTCTTTCCCCCACAATGAGTTCCATATGCCTTGACAGTGAAAACTGGCTGCAGTTGAGGGAGATTGGCACACATTTGTAGATGAATCTGGCACGTAGGAAGCACTTGGTGAATGTTTGTTGTGTGTATGGATGGAGTCGCCCACCCTGAGTTGAAGCAGAAGTCTTGGCAGATGAGGGTATAGATGAGGAAGAAAAGTGAAGAAGGAATGAGAAGGCACTGGATGGGGCCTGGGAGCACAGAATGCAGTCAGAGAATGTGCAGGGACCTGAACCTGGAGCTTGGAGAACCAGGCCAGTGCAGCATCTCCCTGAGAAGAACATTCTAGAATGTTCTATCCAGTTCTACAGACAGATTGAAAAGTGTCAGCACTGTGAAACAGTCACAGGGTTCACTGGGCTCAGGGGGCTTTGGGAGAGCAGTTGCTGCAGGCTGGTGGGTGGGCAAGGCAGACTGCAGGCCAGTGAGGTGGGCATGGTGGGTGCGGGAGCCCGGGGGCAGTGGTGCGTGAGGTGGAGGGGCAGCTGGAGAGAAGAGCCAAGACTTCACAAAGAATATTTTGGGATGTGGAGAGTTGAACACATTTGTAAACTGGGGAGGAAGTACGCAAGTAAGTAAGTGTGCGTTAGGTGCTCAGTCGTGTCTGATTCTTTGCAACCCCATGGACTATAGTGTGCCAGGTTCCTCTGTCCATGAGGATTCTCCAGGCAAGAATACTGAAGTGGGTTGCCATGCCCTCCTCTAGGGGATCTTCCCCACCCAGAGACTGATGGAGGAGGAGGGGGAGGAGTTTAAAATCAAAGGAATGGGGTGACTAAAGGAAGAATCCCAGTAGAGTGGGGGCCTTGGGCCTTCCTTTCTGGTGCTACAAAGCCAGCACAGAGCCAGGCTGGGGATGCGATGCCTTAGTAAAGGACTTGAGGAGCTGAGAGATGGTGGTGATGGTCCAAGCGGTGTGGGTGCTACAGGTACTTGCAGCGGCCCGCCTGGGCTGTGGGCATCCCTATGACTACGGCTTCACGACTTCAGAGGCATGAGGGAACAGGCTTTTCAGATATTTTATGATTTCTTCCACTGTGTTTTCCAGATTCCTCCTGATTTTATGGCCGAGCTCCATCAGTGTTCCTTCTGTGGTGGATGCTGGGGGATATCGGGAGAGAAAAGTCAGGGTAGAGCTATTCCCCTGCACCCTCACCGCTTCCCTACAGCTTTCCACAGCACTGGCAAAGGCAACTAATGGGTTCTTTGACTTGCTTTTAACTCTCATTTCTTAAAAAAATTTTTTTCATTTATTTTTAATTGGGGGATAATTGCTATACAAGGTTGTATTGGCTTCTTTATATATCAACATGAATCAGCCATAGGTATACATATGTATGGTAGTGTAATATTTCAATGCTATTCTCTGAATTCCTCTCTCACTCCTTTTTGCTGCAGCTTGCTTTCTCTTTCTGACCCAACCACTTCCACCCCTTTTTGCTGCTTACAGTTTGCCCAGCCCCTAACCCCTTCCGCTAGCTCCTACCAGCACTGGGAGTGTGTTCTGTAGTCTCTTCTGATTCAGGGGCAGCATTTCTGAGATGTTTCTCCTTGAGTATGGACAGAGGCAGCTTGGGATTCTGATTCTGTGGTCTCCTGGAAGATTTGATCACAATTTGCTCTTTGGAAATCAACTCTTCTCTGGAGATGGAAGGCTCCTTAGAAAGGTCCTCATTGGAGATCTGGAGGTTTCTCATGATGAGCTGAGCAGCTGGGAGCAAGATGATGGAGGAGATGAGGGCAGAGAAAGAGCTCATGGTGAGGAGCAGCCAGTCAGGGCTGTGTTATCTCCCATAACACTGGTGGCCACCAGAGTTGAGTCATTGCCCAGTTATCATACAGCAGAGTTGATGTCCCATGCTGGCATCCAAAGCCACAAGCACCTGGTTTTGGATGCCTTTGACTAGGAATTACACTTTTAGCAAATTTACCTTCTTAACACAAAGAGAATAACTATGCAAATATCTGTCCCATTGTCTGGCACATAGGAGGGGGTTCAGTAAATATTGGATCTTTTTTTTTTTTCCTGAATTTTGGGTATCACTTGAGTCTGCCTTCTCTGGCTTTTGCCAGGTGAATTGTGTGTGTGTGTGTGTGTGTGTGTGTGTGTGTGTATAGGAAGTTAGCCTGAGATTAAACCATATTTATGGGTAATTCACAAAGCAGAATCCTGCAATGTTTAAGGTTTTTGTGGGGTAGGGAGCTTGGGACTGAGGAGCCCCCAGTAGCATCCTCACCTCAGGGTGAGCTGAAACTCCTAACCTGCTAGCATTCAGGAGTGAGATGTAGTCCCCACACCCATCTCCCATGACTAACCAGCATGAAGTGCTGTTCAAAGAGCTTCTGGCCCCTAGAGCTTGGCCAGTTAGTGCTGTAGGAAGGATTAAGATCCAACATCAGAAGGGATTGTCTTTGCTCCACCTCTTTCTCAGATGGAGAATTCGTCATTGTTCGTCACTCACTGAACAATCTTTTACCACCACTGACTTACTTTAAAAGATGCCAGTGTGAGACTTACAGGTATCTGTGGGCTGTGCCTCCAGGTGGGTTTCATCTTCTGGCTCTGAAAAATAAGAGGGTTAAATTTCCCGAAGGTCTGAAGACATTTAACATGTGAGATGCTCTTATGCAGCCCCTTCTGCCCCAGCATTCTCCTCTCACTTACCATGTTTTATGTTTTTCCTTCGCACTTCTAACACGTTGGCATTTATCTAACGTGCTTACTGTTGGTTTATTCCCTGGTGGCTCAGACCGTAAAGTGTCTGCCTGCAATGCGGGAGACCTGGGTTCGATCCCTGGGTCGGGAAGGTCCCCTGGGGAAGGAAATGGCAACCCACTCCAGTACTCTTGCCTGGAAAATTCCATGGAGAGGGGAGCCTTGTCAGCTACAGTCCATGGTGTCGCAAAGAGTAGGACATGACTGAATGACTTCACTTCACTGTTGGTTTATTCCCCTAGGCTGTAATCTCAATGATGACTGAGATCTCTGTATTTTGAGAGTGTATTCCAAACATCTAGAACTATGTGTCTGGCATACATTAGGTGCTCAATAAATAGCTGTTGGATGTATGTGTGTCTATGTCTTGGCCTCACTGTACAGAGGAAGGCAGAAAGCTCCACGTAGGTGTAGTGACTCTACTGGAGGTTTCCAGCATCATCTGAACCTGGAATCTAATCTGAATCTCTGTTGACCCATAGTCTGCCTTGATTTGGGTTCAGTTTGGCCCCTCTCATCCCAGCCACAGACTTTCTAGGGTGCAGGATTCCTGGAGTCATGTGTCCTAGCCCCCTGCCTCTGTCCCTAAGTTTATCCAGGTGTGAATGCTTGGTTCTGACTGCATCTCCTGACCTCTTCACACAACACATCACAAGGATTAAGGAAAGGCCTTTGGAGCACTGAGGTCTCTCCAGCCACAGCTCAATGACCCCAGGGGACAGGGGGAGGTTGATGGAAGCCAGACTCACCGTTAAGGATGGCGAGAGAGGTGGCGGCCAAGCTGGCCAGAAGCAGGAAGCAGAGGACTTTCATGGTGGGGCTATAGCAGCATCTGTTTTCCCCGGGGAGGCTGCTGGGTGCTGCTGAGGAGGCTGCTGCCTGGCAGGGGCCTTATGTATTTGAGGGTAGGGATCGGCTTTTGGAATCTGGTTCAGGATTGGACCTGGGGACAAACCAAGTTTCCCCTCCCCATTTCCCTATTCTGTATACATTTGTTTTGGGGAACTGGAACTTCTGGGAAACCAGTTAACAGGAAAGCAAGGTGCCAGCATGCCCCCTGGCCTGGAATGTGCCAGCATTCCCCCTGGCCTGGAATGTGCCAAGGGAGCCAGCCCCAGGCTCCCTATATGCCAGATATTGTCTTGAGTTTGTGCATATGGGATCTTTTATTTAAATCATGATGGTTGTTAAAATATATGCTATTTATCAAACAAAAAAACATGTTCACAGTAACTACCAGTGTATGAGCTTCCCTCCTTCATGGTACTTATTATTGGTAGAATTTTATTTTTGTTTAAGTGATCATTAAATTAATATCTATCTCCCCCAGGAGAGTAGGGACAGATTAGACAAGCAGAGTGACTGAATAAAGAAAGGGCTAGGCTATCCTCTGGGGCTACAGATGAGCACTCCCCAGGCATTCAGGAAAGAAAGGGCCAGGATTTTTTTTGGAAAAAATATTTATTTTTATTTATTTATTTGCTGCACTGGGTCTTAGTTGCAGGATCTTTGTTGCCTGTGGGCTCTTCCGTTGAGATGTGTGGATTTTCCAGTTGCGGACTCTCTCCGGTTGCGGCACATGGGCCTAATTGCCCCATGGCATGTGGGATCTTAGTTCCCCCACCAGGCATTGAACCTACATCCCTTGCATTGAAAGGCAAATTCTTAACCACTGGACCTTCAGGAGAGTCCCAGGGCCAGGCTTTTATAGGGATTCCAGCTATATGCCAGACATTGCTTTGAGTTTGTGCAAGTGGGATCTTTTATTTAAATCATGGTGGTTTTTAAAATATATGCTATTTATCAAACAAAAAAAACATGTTCATGGAGCTGAGCAATTTACACAATGTCACACATCTGCGTGAATTTGAACCCATGTTAGTCTAACTCTAGACCCTATGTCTTATACATACAGAGGCTGGTAGTTCTAGAAGCAGACAAGATAGACCAGCAGGACACCCAGAGAGGCATCTGGAGAGGCGGTGGGGGATGCACCTAGGACCTGAGGCCTGTTCCTGGGCCTGAGACTGAACTGGTTGACCTCCTGTGCTCTCCTCTGGCTGGAGCTGATGATCCCTCTGGAGCCTCTCTTTTGAACCATCTCCAGGAAGGTGAGGGCTGCTGTCCCTGTGACTGAACTTCCTGTCCTCAGCAGGAAGCATGGCTTGCTGGGCATGTGGGGGTCCCACAGAGGGTAAGGCCCCACCTGTGGACCACAGAGAGCCGTGAGCTGTGTCAACCAGACCCTTCTCCTCTCTCTGGCTGCAGGAGGGAAGAGCCCGGGGGGCTGGCAGTCCCCCTCCAACGGCTTGGGCACTGCTCTCTGCTTAAGCGAGGCTGTGAAGTGAAGGAAGTTTGTCTTGGGCTGCCTCCCACTTCCCCTTCCTCCCCAGTTGCCCCCACTGATGGGCCACCTCCCCTCTTAGAGGGCACTTAGGAATGGGGAAGGGACAGATGCAGGCGTTCACAGTGCTCTCCAGTACATGTCTGTAGCCCTGCAGGCTTGTTTCCTAACACGCTTCATAACTTGCAGGTTCGGGCCTCCATCACCTCCAGCTTAGGCTATTTCTCACTGTTTCTCACTGCCCTTCTGGCCTCCAGTCTGTCTCCACTCTAGTGCTAATGCTGGAGGATTAAGTAAGCCATCTTCCCTACTCAGAAGTGTCTAATGGCCATCCACCATCCACAGGGTAAAGTCCAGACTCGCTGGGCATGTGTCTGAGGTGCTCCGCCTGTCTGACTTTATCTCTTGGCCCTTGGAATCACTCCTCGCTCACTGGAGTGTTCTTCCTGTTCAAGCTGTCCCTCTGTCAGGAACGCTCTTCCTTCTCTGTCTGCCAGCTGTGCTCCCATATCATAATCCACATCAATGATACCTCCTCCCTCAAGTGAGCCCCACCTTCTCGCCACGACAATCCCTCGGTTAATCGCCATGCCTCTGTGGGCCCCATGATAAAGTTCACATCTTCGTCTTTTTGTGATTTCATCCCGGTACTATTTCTTGAGTGCCTGCTATGGTATAAGTTTTGGCGATATGGTGGTGAGTAAAATCGCCTGGCCTTGGCTCAATGGCCTTTGCCGTCTAGCATTTATCACACTTGATTGTAATTCTCTGCTTTGATCGATTGCTCCCTCTGGTCAATTACCATTTTTGAGGACAGGAGCCATAGTTCATTTCTGTATCTCAATTTATTTAGCACAGATCCTGACACTTGCTAAGTGCTCCAGTTTGGTAAATTGAATCAGTCAATTTGTCTGTTCAAAGTTGGCCCCTGGGGGATATGTTTACTGTTAGTGGGGAGGGAGGGACCTCTGAGAGGTCTTCTTCAATAATTGAATATTCCAACAAGAATTGTATGTGATAGGTACTTGAGCTTCAACAGTGAGCAAAACAGATTGGATTCCTGCGCTCCTAGATAGGATTGCCAGGTAAAATGCAAGTTGCTCAATTAAATTTCAGATAAGCAGTGAATAATTTTTTTAGTGTAAGTATATACTCAAATACTGCATGGGACCAGCTCATACTGAAAAGTTGCTTATCATTTTTCTTAAATTCACATTTAACCGGGTGTTGTGTATTTTATTGGCCAAGTTTGGCAATCCTACCCCAAGCCTCCACTCTATGCCACCTGTCCCTTCTAGCTGGAGCTTTGTCCTATGTGCCTAAGGGCTCATAGGCAGGAGAACAATGGACCGAAGTGGAGTCCAGGTGCCAGGCCTGTAGCTTCCTTCCAAGAAAAGAGGTCACAGTGGCTCTTAACGCACAAGTTCCTGACTGCGTCAGATGGCCCTGTTCCTCTGGCCACTCATATGTGGTGAGGAAGCCTGGGTCCTATCCAGAGAGAGCTATCACCTGGCTGGACATAAGGAAGACCAGTGGCTTATGAGGATACCTGGGTGAGAGACGTGTCCACTTCTGGTGCTCATTACAGGATGGTCTCTAACCAAGTCAACAAGACCCTTCTCAGTGAATTCTGAATGTGAGGTAGACAGAATGAGAACTCAATGAGATGTAAAAGTGGTAGTTGCCGAGGAGGAAGGGGGAGGCAGAGCGATGCCAACGAGACAGAGGGAGGTTGACATATGCGGCCTGGGGCTGATGTCACGGCAGGACGAGTGTCGCCAGAGCAGCTGCAGGGGCTCACTGCCCCCCCCCAACCCCCGCCCCACCGCCAGTTGCTCCCTGCACACACTACAGGGCCTGCTGAGATGCTCGCCTGATCACCCTTCCTGCCTGTGTTAGCTGATGTGACTGGAGTGAACCTTATAAACTTGGAGAAGCCTATTTTGTTTTTAAATTTTAGCTTTTAGTCAGGACACCCAAGTCCAAGGGTCAATCTGCTGTGACTTCATTGTATGGCCCTTGGCCAGCCACTCCCCCTCTCTGGGCCTCGATCTCCTCTCCAGCAAGGAGAGGAAGGCCCTGGGGGATCTCCAAGGATCTCTAGGGTCCCTGTTTTTCAGGATCTGGCACCCTCTTGGGTCAGGAGTAGTGGCTTAGTGGAGATTGCCATTTCTAGAAGGATAGCAGCATTAGGTTGGTTAGCCTTGAACTTCAGGGCACACAGGGTCCGCTGGGAAACCTCCTCTCCCTCTGCATTTAATAAGTCTGGGATGCAACCCAGGAATTCACATTTTTAAAGCCAGTGCCCAGTCATGCGGAGGGCCCGGGTTTCCCTGGCCGGCTCAGTATCCTCACACGGGGGCGCTGCGGCCGGGTCTCGCGGAGGTGGGGCAGGGGGTCGGGGAAGCATGGATCCTGATGATTCTGAACAAGATCCTGAAGCAAAGGAGCAATATGCTTCTGTCTATGTGGGCAGAGAAGAAGACATTATAAGATCTGAAAGAATAACAGCTGTTGTCCATGACAGAGAAGTGGTCATTTTCTACCACAAAGGAGAATTTCATGCTATGGATATTCGCTGTTACCAGTTAGGAGGACCTTTACATTTGGGAGAAATCGAGGAATTTGATGGACGAGCATGTATAGTTTGCCCCTGGCATAAGTACAAAATTACTTTGGAAACAGGAGAAGGACTGTATCAGTCTATAAATCCTAAAGACCCATCAGCAAAACCCATGTGATGCTCCAAAGGAATAAAACTAAGGATTCACACAGTGACAGTGGACAACGGGAATATTTATGTGACTCTTTCTAATGAGCCTTTTAAGTGTGACTCTGACTTTTATGCCACTGGAGTCTTCAAAGTAATTCCAAGTTCCTTCTGATAAAATTTCATGGCAATGAAAAATGTTGTGTATGTTTCAAAAGTATTTTTAGAATAACCTTGCTAAGTACCAAAGATGACTAACTTTTTCCAACACAAGCACATTTATCATCTTTAACAGTCATATTTATGAAAGGTTCAAAAGCACATGTACTTAATATGATGTAAGGATCATCATTGGGATCTATAGAATACGTTTCAGCCAATCCTCTGGATTGATTGGAACCTTAAGGTTATAGGTTTGAAATGTGCATTAGAAGAAGGATAAAAATAATTTGGAGTAACCAGAGTGAAGAAAAGGTTAAAAAAAAAGATTAGATCTACTAAGAAAAATTTAGGGGGAAAATCCCTACTTGATATAGTAAACTTTATCATGGAAAAATTTTAATGTATACAAAGTGAAGAGAATAATAAACTCCCAGCACCCACCTTCAACAGTTACCAGCATTCTTCTATTCTTGTTTCATTTTTGCATGCGTTCACCACCCCACCTATTGATGGTTATTACAATTTTTTTAAGGTAAAATGTAAACACATTGAAATACTTAAGTTTTAACTATTCAGTGTTTCCAAATAAATAGCAGACCTTTTACACTTGAAAAATANGGTATGAATTCAACTTGGGTTTCCCTGGTGGCTCAGTGGTAAAGAATCTGCCTGCCAATGCAGGAGACACAAGAATTCGAGTTCCATCCCTGGGTAGGGAAGATCCCTTAGAGA